ATGAAGAGAAAGAGTGTGAGAGGGTCCTCACCCCTCACACTCTCATACTTTCAACAGTTTGCTTGTGCTTAGCTTTGCCTTCTCTAATCAACAAGGGATGTGTTCAAGCATTCTCTGTGAGTGGCAGAAGCATATATGCATTCTCCAAAAGGAGCAGAGGCTTTGGCTACAGCATGGCAAACCGGCAAGTCACAAAAAGGCACTGGATTCCAATGGGGTCCCTATTGGCTCTATCACTATGTATTGCTCAACTATATAGTTCTTCTTGATGTAGGATGTAATAAACAAAGTTGGTCTTCCTTTGAGAAGTTACCAACTTGTGCTGTCCAAATTACTCAATTTGCAGCTGACTAGAATTCCTTTCTCTCTTCAGTTTCTGCAGATGAGTAGGTAGGTAATTGTGATCACTCCATTCCACTTGTGTCTCTTCTCCTATCTGTGTTCCCTTTTCCATGCTTGTATGCTTGTTTGTGTTGTTAGTAATGTCCTTAAGAGCAATAAAAGAATAGTACAATTCTAGTTCCTCAAAAGTTTTGGATTGTATTACATTTACTTTATTAGAAAAGCATGAGTCTTCTTTCTAAGGTTGATGGAGTGAGTAATGATCATGCCCCCATGATCCCTCCCTCACCTTTACACTGTTGCATTTCTGATTTTACTGACATTCGAAGCTGTCCAGGGGTCAATGGTAAACAATTTTATCCTCTTCATATAAAAACGCTTCCTAATAAACAAATATGGCATGTCCCAAAAGTAATAGAAAGAAACAAACCTTAGTTCTTAGGTAGGAACGGTTTACATGAATACCAAATAGAATCGTATTAAGTACATTTATTTCTAAAAGAACACTTTTACATTTAACAATTATTGGTTTTAGTATATGATAAACCATGCATGCTTAAAAATTCAAGTTGAAGTCAACAATCAACCATTCAACCAAGGCCACGTTTCTGGTTATCCTTGAATTTAATATTTTAAGTTCACCAACAAAAATTTGGTAGTTCAATGAGGGAACAAATCACCATATAGTCCTCATAATAAACATGATGAAAGTTGAGAGGTTACTGTTGATAGTAGTAGCCGATGTCTATTTAGCTTAAATTAAGTATTGGTTAAAGCAATGGCCAAATTAAGAAGGTACCAAGTATTCCATCTCGTGCTAACACCTCAATGGAAGCACGTTCCCAATACCATTGCAATATGCAGAAGATTAATGATTTAAAATTGAAAATGGAGTTTCCTTTCATTTTAAACAACATTATTTTTTTGTGATCTATTTTCCCTCGTCCCAAGCATCATAAGGAATCACTTTCATAAATTTGATACTTCATTTCCTTAAACTAATCCAAGGCAAAGAATCAAATCATGCTTTCAATCTACAAATTTTACAGATTTCGTGGTATTCATTATGACAAGTAGCCAGTAGATGTACACAGAAAATACACATAAACTTGTCACTCTAATCAATCATCTTCAGCACAAATTATAACTCTCAAGATACCCTTTGTGATGGACACCCAGATGCGAGAAATCAATGAATATACATGTGTTGAATGTGTATAAAGAATCAGAAATCGGGTGTGGGATGATTTTGAGGAGTTTTTCTCAGCTTTTCCAATGGCCTTTACCATATTTCAAGAGAGAAGCATACAGTAATTCATTCCAAGTATCAGGTACTCCAGGCAAACACCAATGACTGCAATCTTGGTGTAGTTCAGCAGAGGTTCGTTCTTCTGCGGTCTTATACTCCATTCTGTATATAGAAGGATGTGCATCTTTTCTGTAATCTGTAAGTCTACTAATGTTCAAATATATCACTTGAGTTTTCACCCTTGGGATGACATGCTCAAAAGCCCTCATTTTTGATGGATACTTGCGTAAGTGCTGTCCATTAGATATTGGCTCGGTTTCTTTGTGGCACTGTCCTCCTGAATTCCATTGTCCACCCCTGAAACCAAGTCAAGCAGTATCGGAATAATTGATCAAGGCATATCAGATGAATATGAATCAGCATGTTAATAGTGAGTAGTAAAATTGAGATCACCACCTAGGATAATGGAGTCTGCATTAACCATTGCTTGTAAGTCAAATAGTAAGTGGTCCAATTTTGTTCATATATATTATTAATTCTAATAAAATAGGTAACTTAAATGGTAAGAGATTAACATGTATTGAACATTATATTAATATGAATAAGTGCATTGATAATGTACACAAATAATAATCTGGATTGTGGCACAAAAGCTATAAATACAATTTTGGAAGTAAATGGTATTCTGAAATTGGCTATCTATCAAGTTGACAACAATACAATATCAAATATTTAAGGCAAACCTGCACAAATAATATGATTTTTCTGAAAATAACCTGTTGAGGTATTAAACCAATCACTGCAATAATATAGGAAAAATAGCTAAAGAAATTTAACCTAGGAAGAAAAAATATTCAAGTATGTAAAGGGGATCACTGATCACAATAACCAGCTAAGAACTTTATCATTATATCTCTTGGTTTTGGAAATGAATAAACTGATCTTGTGCAATGTACAGACTTAAACGTATACTACCCTTGGTTCCACAATCTCATCCTTCCAATAAAAAGACATGTTCATTAATATGTAAATAAAAAGACTTGCAGAAGGGTGAGTTAACATAGCAAAGAGATAGGAATTCAGAGAGTTTGCATGTCTATTTCTAAATAATAACACATCAATTTCCAGCCATAAACTAATTTTAGAGCCAATGAAAGGGAAGCAAGTCCGAACTAAAATTAGGAAGCCATGTAAAAGACCAATACCTAAAATTAATTTTAGAGCCAATGAAAGGGAAGCAAGTCCGAACTAAAATTAGGAAGCCATGTAAAAGACCAATACCTAAAATGGGTTACTGAGTATCCTCTGAAGAAAACCTGAGTTCGATTGACATCAATATTATTGTCGATCCATTTAGCCCAAGTGGCCAATGCCCTTGTATATGCATCCAGAACTTTGAGTCTGGGGTATACATGGTTGCCTTCTTGATAATAATATTCTCTGTAACAGTACCGGATCACACCAAAATCAAAAACCTTATTGCTTATGAGGATCACATATGGTAACCACTATATGGCCGAAAAATATATAGAGGAGTGAAGAAGGCAAAAGAGATTAACATCTTGATTAAAAATCCAATCTCGTGACAAATTTGCAACTAAGCAACAACTTTCATTAAATATCATGCCAAAGTTCTTTCATAATTCACAAACAGTCAGCACTATAAGGCAGAAAATTATAGGTGGTGTGAAGAAGACGAGATTAATATCTTGATTGGAAAAGCAGTCTAAATAACAAAATTATAAGCATGTGGCATGCAGAAGGTTGAATCAAATATCATGCTAAAATTATGTTTTTATTCATCTTCAAGTAGCGTCACTCTAATCTACATATTTCAAGAGCACTTTGAAGCATTGAGCCATAGACAATGTTAAGGTGATGTTTACTTAACAAACAGACAGAACTCACCCCCTAGATGTTTTCTCGTGGGTCCACCAATGACCTGTATTGAAGACTATGATATCAGCATCATGATAGGTGGTAGCTGTCTGGTCCATCAAATCCAATCTTAATGTCTCAAAGGACCCATTTATGCCTTTGAAAGTTGACTCTTGAACAATGAATGGTGAACTAACAAAATCTACTGAACAATTATAATCCTATAAATACAGCAAAGGAAAAAAATTCAATGAGACACCATTACAAGATATATACTCAGCAAAATCTCATGGATAACCAGAAACTTGCCTCAAATCTAAAAGCATAGACATCTTTCTTCTTAAATTCTGTTTTTCCTGAAATTTCAAAAACACGTTTCTTGTCCTTGACACTTTGACGTAGGATACACACCAGGGATTCCCACATGTTCCTGTTCAGTGAATCCCCCACAAAAACCAGCTTCTGTCCTCGCAACTTTTCCAGAAAATCAGTTGCATTCAAACTGAGAGGTGACATCAACAATTAACAAAAAAAAGCAATACATTTTAATATATTGTATGATTTAAAATGACTGTCAATGGTTTGATAATTGAAGTGACTGTAAACCAAAACTGAGGTTAAAACACTGAATTACTACACCAAATGTAAGAAAAGTAAATTAAGTTGTCATGACTCAAGATCCCTAATCACCCCCCTCCCCCCTCCCTCTTTTTCTGCCCAAGTTTCACAAACTCAGATGGCAAATCGTTCCATATTGCCTGTAGATCACTAGATCCCATAATCTGACCTGTTAAATTATATAATCCTAAGCCTACTGAATGTTATTAATACTCCTAAAGAGAGTTTTAGAGTGATGTTAGGGTAAGGGACGGTCAGGGAACAATTCCCCTAGTTTTGTTTAAAACTGGGAAGGGAGTGTAAAACAAACAATTCTCCTTCAAGCTAACTTTTTGTTCCTCTCAAAATGGTGGGTAACAGAGGGTAATAGTTTTTCTTTCAATTTACATTCTTGTCACTTGTCAGTTATATGATGTTACCCATAAATTCAGCCACTTTATTTCATTTTATAAAGATTAAATTGTAATTTCACACGAGTAAACAAGTATTGTGGACCTTGACGATGTACCTCACACTTTCGTCTGTTACCTAACATATAGTGTGATTCAATCCTTAAATATTCAAACTTGTTTCACTTGCTTCTTTTGCTATCTCTCGTCAGGAGTAATGTGAAATGACTTTGTAATATAAAGACAGAATAGCACACATTAGAGGTACATACATTTCCAGGGACCAAAATACCATTTCACAACTTGACACCTATAATCCTTTTACCTCTCCCCTTAATAAAAAAGCATACACAGAAAATGTAAACTATTTTTCCCTTCTATCCCTTCCTCTCTAAGTATCCCATTACCTTCTCTTTACATTTCTCCCACTGTTATAAAAACTCCCAAGCATCTAAAATAAGGAAGACCCAGTTTCTGTTATATGTCCTTCATATTAATTGTTCACTAGCAAGATATCATTCTTCTTTTAATTTATTATCACAATCACATTGAATCTTCCTCACTCTTTATCACTCACATAATAGCACATAATAAATCATAACACATGATACAAATTGTCTTTCAACATGTTTTTTCCCACTCTAGATAACTAACATCTCTCAATTGTCAGTGAAAAACAAGAAGAAAAGAAGCATCATACCTTGGAATGTCACACCCATTTGGTTGCCATTTCCACTTCACATACTCACTATCAGGCCTCCCATTAAGATGACAATCAAAATCCCTATCGATGTGGGGACAAGACCCCAAGGGATAGTACGGCTTCGACTCATCCCTCACCCATTTCCCATCAAAGATGTCACACTCCCCACGGAAACTACCAACACTAAAATTACCACTTTCCTTAACCAACCCCTCTCCACACTTTCCATCTCCACCACCACCACTGCATGACGAATTTCCCACGTGCGCATGTCCCTCCCCGAGAAAACTAACATCCTTCACAGAACTAGAATGCTCTTCCTCCGCTCCAAAATGCAAGCTTTCGTTTTTCTGATTCCCCACAAGGGTTTTCCCCAAACGCTCCCCTGACACGTTCACTTCAGCCCTATGCAGCAAACTGACGGAACCGTTGAGAGAACGAGTCGTGAAGGGAAAATGCCAAGAAAAGGAAGAGTTGGAATCAGATCCTTGCAGAAAGGCTTGAACTTTGGGAGCGGTGAGGGAAGTGTTGTTGAGCAGGAGAAGAGTGAAGAAAACGAGAGAAACCCCAACACCTAAACTGAACCCAGAAATCACCTTCCTCCTCTGAGACATAAAGGGTTCCGAGAATACAAGTTTCTTAGAGGAGTCCATGATGGCAACCGTGGAAACAACGAAGCGAACAAAGTCAAGGCATAGAACAAGAACACTGTTAACCGCGTTTCGACGACAATAACAACGTGCTTTGTGGTTCAAGTCGGTGTCGTTTTGAAGGAAAACAGTGATGCGATCTGATAAGGGAAAAAGGGGTTTCAGTGAAAAGAAGAAAGTTGTGTTGCGAAGTGTGCACCTTTGTAGGGTGCAATCTGTGTGTGAAGTGAGTGAGAAAGAGAGAGTATTACTAGTAAGTGTCCCTCTTCCTTATGGTGCATTTGTTTTACAATTTTTTGTTTTTTCTTGGGATTATTAATTTATTAGTTACCCCATTAATTTCACGTTAAAAACCATAATTAAATGTTACAGTAGGGTTGACTGAATTATTATTATTATTAACTAAATTAGAGTGACTGGAAATAAATTTCGAGAAATTTATTTGTCTAGATTTGGTTCTTAATTTTAGGAAATGACGTCTATAAGTAGAAAATTGGAATAAAAATGTTTTTCAATTACGTACTTGATGGATCTCAAGTGGAAAAGATTACTCTATAGAAACTGCAAAGCTTCACTTACCTAGTTTTTCACAATGATCATTACTTTGCATACTTTATCAAGACCTACCAATGTATTTTACATGATGATTATAAATGATGATAAGTGGAGTTTAAAAAAACGGTACATGAAGTAAATGGCAGATTTGTTTGGGCATGTGAATTGGCAAATTGAGATTTATGAATTTTGTGATAATAAAGTTAGCCGAAAATGGCAAGGTAAGGGTGCATTAATGTAGAGAGGTTGAGGGTTAGTTTGGTAAATGAAGAAAAGGCCCCGGAAGCATTGGTTTGTTGTTGGGCATAGGAAATGCAATGGAAGTATGTGAGACGTGGCGTCACCGAAAGGTAGAAAAATAAAAGGAGGAAGGGCATGTGGTGATGGTTGTGAAGAGTGATGCACCGACGAGTGCATGCAATGTGAAGGCGACACGTGGTGAATGTGGGACAACGTGCATCAAGATTTTTGGAGCAGGAGCACACTGATGTGGCCGCACATGTCATCTTATCCTTTATAGTGTTTCTTTTTTTTTAAATTAGATAAAAAGTTAAGTAGAGTTATTAAAATATGGTTGATATTATTTTTTAATTTAGAGTTAAAAAATTTATGTACTTATATTTAATGTAAATCATATTAATATATAATTGAGATAAAACTCTAATTTTGATGGAAGAATAATATAAATTATATTTAAAAATTTGTACTTAAATTTTATTTTTTTAATATAATATTGGTTAAATACTTCTTTTGGTCCCTTATAATATTTTTTTTTTAATTTAGTCTCACTTTAATTTTTGGTCTCAATTTGGTCCCCAATAACTTAAATTAGTGCAATTTGGGACTTCCGTCCAAATGATTTAGACGGAATTAACTGTTGGCCACGTGGCATCTATGTGGATGCCACGTGGATGCGCACGTGGACACCAAAATTCTTGAAAAAACTTGAAACCAGAACGGGCCGTTCTGATTTTAGAACGGACCATTTTGATTTTAGAACGGGCCGTTCTGGTTTCAGAACGGGCCGTTCCAGAACGCCATGCTTTTTATTATATTTTTTTTATTATACCTATATTAATAAATATATAATAAATAAAAAATACAATAAATTAATATTCATTTATGAATAAAACTAAAAAAAATCAAATAAGATAAGACCTTCCAAAATATTTCTTTGATTTGAATTTATCCAGTTCAAAATCTTGATTAAAATGCCGCAATATATTTCAAAAATTGAAAATAAAATTCAAGATTTAGGGGTACCTCCTCAAGAACAGGTTGTTATTGTTGGGGTACATCGTCAATGACTTTAAGGAAAAATACTATTTCGTTTTATCCTTGACTGTATAGTGTCAATTTGGTAGTAAGTGGTTCACTCCAGTTTGACTAATAATGAAATAAAACTTGTTACCATTGTCCTTAGTGATACACTGCATCATCCTTAATGATATACTGTATAGCTCAAATGTTTACTGATTGAAGTTATTAATCCTCATTAACAATATTATTAAATCTAGTGTTTGAAATGCTTTGTATCTTCCCTAAAAAAATGCTTTGTATTTTGATTTTTTTGTGCACGAAATTCTAGACCAGAACGGCCCGTTCTGGTTACACTGTTGATGTTTTAATTTTGGACCTGGAACGGCCCGTTCCAGGTGCAAATTTTACACACCAATAATGTAACCAGAACGGGCCGTTCTGGTTCTAGGTGTATTCAAGTATTTTTGGATCCACCTACGTGTTATCCACCTGGCATCCACGTGGCCACCAGTTAACTCCGTTTAAATCATTTAGACAAAAGTCCCAAATTGGAACGATTTAAATTATTGGGGACCAAATTAAAACCAAAAATTAAAGTGAGACTAAATTGAAACAAAAAAGCATTGTAAAGGACCAAAAGAAGTATTTAACCTATAATATTTATTAGTTCGAATAATCTAATAAAATTAATGCTATAAATCAAATTAAATTAGTTTAATTTTTTTATTGAATTAAATTTGATTTAACCAATCAAATTCGACTTTAGTTAATTTAGTTCACATATTTATATTTTACAAATTTAATGATCTAAAAGTTGGATTAATTAAAATTAAAATTATTATTATTATTATATTACAATTTTATTAGTAACAAATAGATGCAACATTACTATACCGTATTAACACTTTAATTATAATAGGTCTTTTATGATATTATTTTATAATAAATCAATAGGAAAATATGTAAAATAATTTTATAAACTACAAAAATTAAAATCATTACAACTCAATGCATGAGATAACGGTGAAAATATGTAGGCTAAGTTTTTTAAGAGTTAATTGTTATTTGTTTATATAATATAAGTTTATTTTAAAGTTTAATATAACCTTTATAATTACTTATTTAAAAGCTTATTGTACGGTAAAACTTCTAATAGGACATAAATTTATCTTCCAATAAAATTATAGATTTGACTTTTTATAGAAATAAATATATTCATTTAAATATCTCGGTCTCCGTTTTTGAGATCATATCTTATGTAACGATCCGAGTGGTCATTACACACAGCACAGTACACCAGCACACCACACAGAAATGAACAAGTATATACATATAGTGTCTAGAATATATATATATATATATAAAAATATATATATATATAT